ATTAAAGTCACAGGTGACTTTTCATCACCTGGATGCCATCTATTTCTCATCTAACGGTTGGGAAGCTTCAGTTTAGTAGTGCTAGCCGGGATGCAAATAGCAGCCTAAAGCTCAGTTCCTAGACAGAGCAAGGATAGTTGGCAATTTTTTCTTTTCTGTACAGCTTATCTTTTCTATATATAAATAAAAACATTTTAGTATGAGCTTAGCTAAAGATAAAATTTATACATTATAGTCCTCAAGAATATCTACAACTTTATAATATATGACTTTTTCATTTAAATCATTTTGTTTGAATAAATTGACTCAAATTATCTACCGTTACATGACACTTCAAAAAAAAAATTATATAATCTCGGATGAAGATAAAAATTATAAAATAATCTTACTTCTCAATAATATATATAACCTTTTAATTCATTGCTCGTCTAAACAATCATTTAGCCCGTTTACACACCATGTAAACGCTACACAGTGGTACACCGTTTCCGTTTAATCGACCGTTTAGCCCATTTAAATGACCGCTTTGCCCGTTTAATTGGCCATTTAGACCGAATAATGGCTAAATGACAAGTGATCGACTGTTTATTGTTTAGGATAACACTGCGAAAAGTCAAATTCAAAATCCCTTGTACTCAAAATTATTTTTAAATTTTATTTCAAAAACTATAAATCATTTGAGCTCTATTTTAATCTCCTTTCAACTCATATCCACCAAATATATTCGTCCTGGTCCCCTCACCCAGACATATATCTAGCACACTGTAGCGATAATATCCTACTTTTGGAAAAAGTGTACCATCTTTGCAGAGTGTATAGCCTATCTGGATAGCCATGTCTGCGGTCTTAGATGAGTTACGGTTTGGTTTCAACTAGTTGGGTTGTAGATGTTGTGTGAGCATATAAATTTTTATCTTTATTTCGGTGCCAAGATAGATTCAAATAGAAACATTGTGAACTAAAAGGACGTATGTATTATTGAGAAATAAGATTATTTTATAAATTTCATCTTCATAAGATTATTTAAAAAGTTATAATGTTTTGAAGTGCCATGTAATGGTAGATAATTTGAGGCAAATTTCACACAAAATGATTTTAAATGAAAAAATCAGATACTATAGTTGTAGATATTTTTCTGGACTAGAATTTTCAAATAAATTTTATATTTATCCAAGCTCATATGTAAAAGTTTTGAAAAGATAAGCTGCACAGAAGAAAGTAAATTATGCCAGCTATCCCTGCTCCGTACGCATTTGCGGGAACCGGTCTTTGGATGGGCTGCTATTTGTATCACGGCTAGCACTAATACAGTGAAGAGATGTTTCTTAAAAAAAAAGTGAAGAGCTTTCCAACCGTGGGATGAGAAATAGATGGCATCCCGTAATGGAAAGTCACCGGTGACTTTACTGCAGCAAGTCAGATAATCCGCACCGCGTTGGTACTCCCCACGTTTCATTCCTCCTCTTAAATGCACCTCCTTTCTCTCTCCTCCTGTCCTGGGAGCCACACCTCTCCCGTTCGACTGCCGTCTCCCCAGACTCCCCACAAAGCCCCTGCCCCCAGCGGCACTCAGCAGCACTGCAGCAGCGCGCAAATCCTCGCCCTGCCGACAGGGGCGCGCCACGGCCGAGCCCTGAGCCCGCACGCGCATTTGCTGCGGCTCTCGGTGCGCTCCGCTGTACCGGCGGCTGTCGCCGGCGGAGGTAAACCCCGCCTTGCCCTCGCTGCTACTGCTTCTGCTCAGGCTCTCCATTGAAACCCTTCTGCTCCGAGCTCTGCTTCCTTTGCGATTCCGGTTGCTCTTCCTGCGCGCGCTCATCCTCCTAGGTCGCTTCGCGGGATGTGCATACCTTAGCTAAGCGTTTCGCCCCTCCCTGAAAAAAAAATCTCGTCTTTTACTTTAGGCAATTTTTCTTGAAATGGACGGGGACATGTTGCATTTGGTTGGTTTGATTAGACTTTAGAGCAGGAGGATTTTTAGCCGTGTTGGTTGTGTTTTTTTTTCCATTACAAAAGACAAGGCAGAGGTGAACGTTTTGGGTTATGCCCTTGCATTTCGAGTTTCAGTTGTACTACCTGGCCTGCCGAATTCCTAAATAATTGACACAACCGTACCATTTCTCTCCTCTGCAGTGTTCAATTTGACAAGGGGTTCCGTCGAGGAAAGGTTGGTGCTTTGCCTGTCCTTCCACGACTTGACATCCTGTGTGTACTCAGGGAATAGGAGCCCAAATCTATGCATTTCCTCATGATTTTGGCTGAACCTTACCGTGCTTGCATCAATGGGTGTTTTATGCTCAGTTACACTGATTGATGTCTGGCGGCGCTGTTTAGCTTCCAGCTTCCTGTTTCCGGTAGTTTAGGCAAGTCTACAGTAATATTGTCTTTTGGCGCCAAACGACAGGTGCTGGGAGCAGCATACATCCATAATGCTCCACTAACTTCACCCTTTTCCTTTCAGTCTTGCTGTTTTAGTTACCTTGATTGAAATGGACAAACGTTGGATCTCCTTTTGAGTTCCAGTTCTTGTATCCACTTGTGTGGTGGATCTAGACATGGGCTGTAACTACTACTAGTAAACAGTAGCTGCTTTGCTATGATTTTTTTTCATCTTCTTCCTGTAGCATGTTCCTCCTATTGCTTAGAATTGACTCAAAATAAAATAAGTCCCACTTGAGCTATAAATTTAATCTCGTACCCTCGAATGGCCTGCGGTCAATCTTGGGTTGCTCACTTGGAGTTAGAAGCTACCACTTGAAAAATGTGTGGATCCTTGCAAACAACTAATTGGCGCTGATCTTGGACTTTTGAGCACAGCTCCCAGGTCACTTGCTGGCTTGAATAAGGAATTGGTTCGTCTCAGGGTCTCTTTAAGTGGAGGTTAAGTAACTCTGTACTGTTCTAGAATCTAGATCTTGTAGTCTGTAAACAATGCAGTAAATCTCCGCACACATTGGCATGTGCGGTAGTTTCCCACATCCACATACACGTCTTCCTGGCAGTGGGATCTTCCCGAGTTCCCATTTGAATTAGCTTAGGTTATATTAGCTAAACCCTTGCCTTTGTTTCTTTCTCTTTTTGTTCAACTTTTTTTAGTGGCGTCTCAGATCACATTAGTCTTTTTTGATGATCACTGCCACAGTTGCAGAACGCTTTATGAGATGGTAAGGCTGCTCTGCTCCATGTTAGTCCTAAGAGGCTAAGAGTGCAGAAAGTTGCGACATGATAATTTGTTTGTTCAATATCGTTGCGTCTCAGTGTAAGAATGCTCTCCATGACAGCCTGAGATACTCTTTTCTTGTGAACAAGTAATAAACATCAGATACATGATGTGCCATGCTCATCTTTGTGAACGCTATGATGAGTCCAGCTTTGTTCTTGCTTCTTCTTTTCTGCCTACTTTGTTGATGCTTTTGACTTTTATATGCTGACCGGATCATTTCACTTTTTCTCCCTTTCTTTATCTAAAGTCCACGATTTTCTAGTTCCTTTTTTTTGACTTTATTGGTGTTACCAGGAACATACAAGGGGATATCCCTTGGTGTATGTTGTTTGCTGATAATGTAGTGTTAGTGGACGAAAGCCAGGCGGGAGTAAATAGGAAACTAGAGTTATGGCGGCAGACCCTTGAGTCTAAAGGTTTTAGATTAAGCAAAACTAAAACCAAATACATGAGATGCGACTTTAGCGGAGTTGTACAGGAGGAGGGAGATGTGAGTTTGGAAGGTCAAGTAGTGCCTAAGAAGGATACCTTTCGGTATCTGGGATCGATGCTACAAAGGGATGGAGATATTGATGCGGACGTTAGCCATAGAATCAAAGCAGGGTGGATCAAGTGGCGACAAGCTTCTGGCATTCGCTGTGATAAGAGGGTACCACAAAAGCTAAAAGGAAGTTCTATAGAACGGCGATTAGACCGGCTATGTTGTATGGAGCAAAATGTTGGCCTACAAAGATTCGACATGTTGAACAACTGAGTGTTGCAGAAATGCGTATGTTGCGATGGATTTGCGGTCACACAAGAATGGACCGAGTTCGGAACAATGATATACGTGATCGCCTAGAGGTAGCACCAATTGAAGAAAAGCTTGTCCAACATCGGTTGAGATGGTTTGGCCATGTCCAAAGGAGACCTCCAGAGGCACCAGTGCATTGTGGAGTCCTAAGCCAAGCTAATAATATGAGGAGAGGTAGAGTAAGACCGAAATTGACATGGGGGGGGAATAAAAAGAGATTTGAAAGCTTGGGATATACCTAGAGATCTATGTTTGAATAGGAGTACTTGGAAAGCAGTTATTGAAGTGACTGAACCGTGACTTGGGGTTCTTGGTAGGTTTCAACTCTAGCCTACCCTAACTTGCTTGGGACTGAAAGGCTATGTTATTGTTGTTGTTGTTGTTGTTATTATTGGGTTTCATTCTTTGAAGGTGGAATTTATGTACCTTGTTTTTACGTTGCCAGGTCGCTCAGTAAAATACCCAGCAGCTACTGTGCTGTGCGCCTAGGGGGATATATACCAAAATTAAGCTTAGAATAAATATTTCTCAATGGCCTGTAATACATACTGATTTCAAATGATACATTTTGCATGCATTCTATAATGAAACCATGAAAAAGTAAGTTGCATTGGTTGGAATGAGAACTCTGTAACCATTAAGACATTGATGGGAATTTCTTGTTTTCCAAAGTATCTTGGTCAGTGTCATGAGTCACTTGCTGGAAAGGAATGTTTATTGTGCTACCCCACTGCGTTTTGCTGAGGCATGCACTTTTGCCTAAACACACATTTTTTTTGGTTAAGTCCAGGGCATGCAATGATTGCTCACATGTGTTTAGTTGCCTTCTGAAGAAACACTTACCTGCATTTGACATCTTAATGTCAGTATGGTAGCATTTTTCACTGATTATGCTCTATTTTTTATTGAACAGGGTTGCTTACTTTGCCTGATATAGTCAATTGAATATGCTGCTCATTTAATTTGCCCAAGGAAATTCATCAGATGGATTGTCTCAATCTTGGGAGCTCTTTCCTTATTCTGCTCTCGATGCAGTTGCTGCTATCGTTGTTCAACCCCTTGGTTGTAGCGGACTTAGCCTCGGAGAAGCAAGCCCTTCTTGACTTTGTCTCTGCAGTATATCATGGAAACAAGCTCAACTGGGACAAAAATGCCTCAATATGTTCATGGCATGGCGTAAAATGCTCAGCAGATCAGTCACAAGTTTTTGAATTGAGGGTACCAGCTGCTGGTCTTATCGGAGCAATTCCTCCAAACACTCTTGGCAAGCTTGATTCTCTTCAAGTACTGAGCTTGCGGTCTAATCGATTGACTGGAAGTCTTCCATCTGATGTGGCCTTACTTCCTTCTTTACGTTCCATATACCTACAGCACAATGAACTTTCAGGAGGGTTGCCTTCTTCCTTCAGCCCTAGCCTCAGTGTAATAGACTTCTCCTACAATTCCTTTACAGGAGAAGTACCTGCAAGTTTACAAAACCTTACTCAGTTAACTGTCCTTAATTTGCAAGATAATTCTTTCTCTGGATCCATCCCTGATCTCAAGCTTCACAGTCTGAAACTACTAAATCTGAGCAACAATGAACTGAAAGGCTCAATTCCTCGTTCGCTCCAGATATTTCCGAAGGGTTCATTTTCAGGGAATCCTGGACTGTGCGGGCTACCTCTAGCTGAATGCTCATTTCCTTCACCAACGCCCTCACCTGAATCATCTTCATTGCCTCAATCTCCACCTTCGGCACATCATGATAAGAAACTAGGCACAGGTTTCATAGTTGCAGTTGCTGTTGGTGGGTTTGCATTGCTGATGCTAGTCGTGGTTGTGTTGGTCGTGTGCTCTTCAAAGAGGAAAGGCAAGGACGAGATTGATGTGGAATCCAAAGGTACTGCCACCAGGAGTGAGAAGCCAAAGCAAGAATTCAGTAGTGGCGTCCAAATTGCTGAGAAGAATAAGTTAGTGTTCTTGGAGGGTTGCACCTATAGCTTTGACTTGGAGGATCTATTGAGAGCTTCTGCGAGAAGTCCTTGGCAAGGGTAGTTATGGAACTGCTTACAAAGCTATACTCGAAGATGGTACTGTCGTGGTAGTCAAGAGATTAAAAGATGTTGTGGCTGGGAAAAGAGAGTTTGAGCAGCAGATGGAGCTCATCGGGAGGTTGGGCAAACATGCAAACCTAGTCCCGCTACGTGCCTACTACTATTCCAAAGATGAGAAGCTTATCGTCTACGATTATATTGACACTGGAAGTGCTTCAGCCATGTTGCATGGTATGATTTTTCACTGCTACAGACATATTACTGATGTGATATCTTTTCAAAAACATTACTGATGTGATTGATCAATACTCAATTCAAGTACTAGCAACAGGCCAGCATTCCTAAAAGTGCCAACCCCTGACAACAAGCATAGTTTGAATCACATAACTTGCTGTATCTCTGCCATTTTATTATAGTTCTCTCAGTTTAACATCTAAAGTTATGTCACTGACTCGATAATAGTTGGGTCTTTTCTTCAATATGGTTAGAACCTTCATATGTATATCTTCCGCTTGCCGAAGACTGAAGCTGCGCTTGCATTGCTTTTACATAGCTTGACAATCTCATGCTACAGAGTGCAACTTGCGCCAAATAACTCGAGATATCAATTTGTTTTGTTAATGAGTGTTTCTTGCTGCATTTCTTGATCAACAGGTATCCGGGGTGTTACTGAGAAGACACCATTAGACTGGAACTCCAGAGTGAAGATCATCCTTGGGACAGCATATGGAATTGCGCATATACATGCAGAAGGGGGCGCGAAGCTCACCCATGGCAATATCAAGTCAACTAACGTACTCGTAGACCAAGATCACAATCCTTCTGTTTCGGACTATGGCCTCAGCGCTCTGATGAGTGTGCCAGTCAACGCATCTCGCGTTGTGGTCGGTTACCGCGCTCCAGAGACAGTCGAGAACCGCAAGATCACCCAAAAGTCTGACGTCTACAGCTTCGGTGTCCTTCTCATGGAGATGCTCACAGGAAAAGCCCCGCTCCAGACCCAGGGGAACGACGATGTCGTTGACCTGCCGAGATGGGTGCACTCGGTGGTCCGGGAGGAGTGGACGGCCGAGGTGTTTGACGTGGAGCTGATGAAACACCAGAACATCGAGGAGGAGCTGGTACAAATGCTGCAGATAGCCATGGTGTGCACGGCAAAGTCGCCAGACCGGCGCCCGGCAATGGAGGAGGTGATCAGGATGATCGAGGGGCTCCGCCAGTCCACCTCGGAGAGCCGCGCGTCGTCTGATGAGAAATCCAAGGAGTCGAACCCTCCATCAGTGTAATCTTGTGCAGCGGAGTTTGTTTGCTTCATCGGTTGCTGCCAGTTGCAGCTCATTTGATTTGTTAGCTAATTTATGATTGAGTTCATGTAAACCCGTGGTTGGCATCAGGTGCATTCAGCCTCAGATAGAAAGAACTGAGCTTTCTCATTGAAAGTTTGAGACTCTGTATCTTGGTGAGTGTAGAATTCTTCCGCTGGAAAATTGAAATTGTATGGCGTCCGCACGCCCCCCTCCCCCACCCAGCCCGCCGGCCACCACCCCGGAGCCGTCGGCCACCAACCCCCCCTCCAGCCACCCCTCAGGTAAGGGACAGGCCTCCCTCTCCCCCGACGCCATCCCCTACTACCCCTCTTCCACCCCGGGGCGCTCCAAGGCCATGCGCTGGTCCTCGGAATCTGACCTCTCCGACGGAGACACCAACGCCGACTCTGCGCCGCGTCCCCAGGGCTCCGCCGGCGACGCCGTCTGTCGAGGCAACTCCGCACGTGTAGCCTTGGAGGCAGGGGCCACTCCCTAGCCACACTACCGTGTCGAGTCACAGCCGGCGGAGGCCGCAGATCTGGAACAGATCCAGATCCACGAACGCCAGCGGCGAAAAAGGGGGAAACGACGGAGGAAGCCTCGCCACCCGCGACGGCTGGAGAAACAAGATCAGCGGCCGGCGGCCACGGAGCTAGACCACAACGACGGCGGCCGCGGGGGTCGGGCGCTCGCCCATCAGCGCCTCGAAAGTCTCCGTCGGCCCGTGCGCGGTAAGTCTGCTCGCCGCCGCCCGCCATCATTCATCGGTGGTGGCCACAGCATGAGGAGGGAGGCGTGTTCCGCTCATCGGCGCTGGGCGACGCGTGTTCCCGTCGCGTCAGCCGCGCGCGATATCGCCCGCCGGACGAAGAACGGCGGCGGGAGGTGCTCAATCGCCAAGGCGACGCCGGGAACCCCTTGGGGAGAACAACGGCAGCGTAACGCAAGAAGATCCCGATGTCTTCGAAAAGGCCGGTGCTTCAACCGCTTCTCCTACAACCACCGCGCCGCCACCGCCGGCGCCCTCCGATCGTCTAATCGCCGCACCAACCACATGGCGATGAGTGCAAGCGGCACGCTCTCCAAACAATGGCGCCGAAGCGGACGCCCGGCGTGGGACCGTTTTGTTCGGGCAAGGCGTGGCCAGACGATGGACGGACTCCAGTGGCCTCTCAGCGAGTGGTTCGACGCCACCGCGACAAAGACCACGCAGGACAACCGCTGGAAGCCAAATCCGGAGGACCGCGAGCCACTACCACCGAGCCACCCAGAGGTGCGGCCTTTCGAGGTCTGCAGATCATCCAGAGGGGTGCCGCCATCGGCAAATACCGAGGAGGGCTCGAGGCTTGCGATCATCGCGCTTAGTGGCGGACTCCACCGGGGAGGTGTCACTCACGACGTAGCCCGAGGCATCCGGGCCATTCAGGGTGTTGACGAAGGGTCCTTCTCCATCAAGCCGTTCTACCCCGAGAACTTCCTCATTGAGTGCCACTCCACCGCAACCAGGGACAGGATCCTCGCCGCGACTCCACTGCCCATCGCTAGCACTTACCTGGCGCTACTGCCATGGACGCGTTTGGCGCACGCGGATGCGGCCATCATGAAGTTCAAAGTGGCATTGGAGCTCGAGGGGATCCCGCCGCACGCATGGGCTGAGGGTACGGTGGCCAAGATCCTGGCCCCAAGCTGCTGGCTCTACACCACCAACCAAGCAACGGCGGCCAAGGCAGACCTCTCCGCCTACAAGATCATGGCCTGGACGACCAACCCACGCGCCCCCAAGGTGGTTTGGCTACACATCGTGGAGAACGAGGTGATTCAAGTCAGCAACGTTCCGGGTTTCGGCAACCTACCACCATACATCAGGAGGAAGAAGGTACTCAACTACCGGGTCCTCGTCCACCTGAACAATGTCACTGACTTTGAGCCCGATGACCCTACGCCGCCCCCCTCCCCACCTGAGTCTGAGGATGGGGACAACGGACACGACGGCAACCCGGATCGACACCACTTCTCCGGGGGGGCCGTACACCGCATCCAGGGCTTCCGCACCGCGTGAGGGATCGTCGATGGGGAGCCGCCTGTCAACAACACCGCGGCCGCCGGCTACAGATGGGCCTGCCTCTCGCTGGCCGCGCCGACTGAGCCGGCCATGGCAACAGCTGCACCCCGGCTCATGAGCATTGTCCAACCGGGGGAACGGCTGCAGCATCATCACGCCACGGATGAAGCTGATATGTTGTCCTCAATCATCCACAGGAATGGGGACAGTGCCACCGAGAAGGAGAACTCGGACTCAGATCCAATGGTGCTAGAGGCGCGACTACCAAACGCACCACAGGCCTCGGCCCGACACGACGGAGCGGATGTAATCGCTCTTGGAGGGATGGACCTCGTCGTCCCTGAGCGTGTGGTGGAACTCGCTTTGCTCAAAGACAAAGGACGCTGCCCCAACAACGAGGACAAACCCAAAGAAAGTCGCGCAGAACCGAAAGCAGCAGACCTTCAGGGAAATTTGAGTCTTGGTGAACACGCTTCGCCTTCCACCTTTTCGAGAGGTAACTACAGCTTTTGATCGGAGCAGGAGCAGAACCGCCTCGCCCGAGATGTCGGCAACGCCCCCAGGAACCACGGATCGTGAGTGCGTGACTCATGAAACGCCGCGCATGGGTGTGGATGTGACTGCATGCGCCGCTGCGTCTCACGAACAAGCACCACCTCCAACCCACCAAGCAGCGAGCGCCGACACCTCAGAAGTAGCGCGTCGCTTGAGAGAGTCACGCCAAGGTTCAAACCAAACGCCTTCACCGATCCTCAAAGAGCCACCAAAGCAGCGGAGCTCGCCAGAAGCCGCCGGTGTTAATCCGGCGAGACGACGCATCGCCGGCGGTGGACCACGTCCCGGCTTCCAAGAGGGGGGAAATTCTCGCGTTAAGCCGGAGTGCCGCCGTGAACGCCGCACCCTCCTCGGCATCAAGACGCTCCTTCGACAAGCTCTTTCACCGACCTATCCAACAATGATGACGCAGAGGCGTTCGATGAGCTGTTCACGAGAAGCGAGAGGAAGGGGAACACGGGTGGCGCGGCGGCCTGCGGCCACCATGGTCTGAGGCTCCCCACCGTGACGACCTAGGCGACCCTTTCCTATGGCTAACACCACAATCGATGTGCTTAATTACAATGTAGTCACCAAACAATTGTCACTGCCGTCTACGGCATTCTTGTAACATAAACATTACTTCTTCTAATGCAAAGATACGCACTCTCGTGCGCATTCGTGAATTTTTTTTTGAAATTGTTAGGCTTGTTCCATGGTGATGGTGTGCTTACAGGTGCCAGCTCGATTGCAAATTCTTTTTACAGTTGCATCTTTCAGAGCATTTGATAATCACCTGATTCTGAGGCCTGTTTGGCATGACTCCAACTCTGGGTGGAGCTGCTCCACTCCAGAACTCCAGGTGGATCCAGCTCTGGGTGAAGTTGGAGCTGTCTGATGAGGATATTTGGCTGGGAGGGTGTCCGCAGCTCCAGAAAAGATGAGTTTGATGGTAGATTGCCATTGTTGCCCCTGGTTCGACTTGAACTACTTGTCACAGATATGAAATGAAAGTACTTTCTGACGTCAAGAGTTCTTTCTTTTCCTGGAGAAATAGCAGTTGATGGGGGACTTGAGACACAATTTGCTGACTCCAAAGTCTGAACAATAGGTGGATTTCAAATTCAAAGCAAACCAAACATGTTTGAGTGAGGAAAAGAAAGGAAGGACACCACGGAACAGAAACGTTCAAGCACCATCTTCGAAAAGACACTATCCAAAAACGTGGCCTCTTTTTGTCTGAATTTTGGGACAAGACCATTGCTTCCCCAATTCAAATCTCATGCAGCAGAGCCATACTACGCTACCCACTCTGTTTCCCCTGCCCAAAAGAGTTTCTAGTAACAACATGTCTCTCAAAAGAAGTTGCACACGAGAAGAATCTCGAGGAAAGAACGCCAAGGCAGGCACGCAGGCAAGGTAGGCAACAAGCACGGAGAAGTAGAACTCAGTGACCGACCAACCTGTGCGTCCCTCTGGCGAGCTCGAGCAGCGCCCCGGCCGCGGCCACGCGTGCTCCCGCGGCGCTCCGCCCGTCGGCCAGCATGTCCAGGAGCGCCGGCACGACGCCGAGCTCGAGCAGGAGGCACTTCGTCCGCTCGTCCGTGCGCGCCAGCCTCGCGACCTCCCCCGCGGCGTCCCGCTTCTCCTCCGCCGTCGCCGCGCCGAAGCTGAGCCGCCTCACCGCGGCCCTCATCGACGCGGCGTCGTCGACCGCTGCTGCCACCGGTCTGCCTGGCGGCGGCGGAAACCGTAACTACGCCGGTCTCGCCAGAAGAGTCAGGACAGAGAGAGGTGCGGGACTAGGAAAATGAGATGCGCGGGGGAGACTCGAGAATAGAAGCGAAACGTTTTTTTCCGTATAACCAGTGGCATTGGTGGGTAATTACCCATCAACTCCACGAAGAGGTTCAAAAGAGATTGTTCTAGAGCAGTAAAAGAGGTGCTCCAAAACTCTACCTTCATTTGCACTACAGCTCCGTGGAGTTGGCAGCTCCATGGAGTTTTGGAGTTAGGGTGTTTGGCTGAATTTTTTGATGGAGTTGCTAGAGTTTAGGAGTGGAGCCATGCCAAACAGGGCCTAAAGGAGGTGCTCCAAAACTCCACCTTCATTTGCACTACAGCTCTATGGAGTTGGCAGCTTCATGGAGTTTTGGAGTTGGGGTGTTTGTAAGGATGGCAACGGGTCGGGTTCGGATCGGGTGGGGTCTCCGTGCACCCAAAACCGAAACCCGAAATCAAAACCCGAATCCACCCCGAAAACCGATTCGGGTGGAAATCCATCACCAAAACCAAACCCGCGGATACCCGAAACCCGAACGGATACCCGAAACCTGAACGGATACCCGAAACCCGCGGATATATATACACATATTCACATGTATAAATAAGAGGCAACAAATAATAAATATTTTCATGAGTCAACTTTAAATAAATTTAATAATCTAAGTAAACAAATTATTATTAGTATATTATAAAACATGAGTTTTAATTATAAATGATTTATTTCGGATATCCACGGGTGGAAAACCAAACCCGAAACCGAACCCGATTGGTTTCGGGGCCCCAAACCCGAAAACCGTGGGTGAAAAACCATCTCCAAACCCGAACCTGCAGAACCCGAAACCCGCGGATATCCGCCCTAAACCCGATCCGTTGCCCTCATTAGGTGTTTGGCTGAATTTTTTTTGATGAAGTTACCAGAGTTTAGGAGTAGAGCCGTACCAAAGGGCCTGAGTCTCGCTCACCCCGCTCCTCAATTGGCACAAGCATACAGTTTGTAACATATACTGAACAAGTCAAAAACAAGAACAAACTGGATCGCTGCCGTTGCTGCTGCTGCTGCCGCTGCCGCTGCCGATACAGGGTGGAGCACTCAGCGCGCCGTCGTCGCATGCGCCCTCGAACAATTTGAGTCTTGCCGTGCCGGTGCTGGGAAGGAAGGGGATCGAGGGGCAGCAGAAATTTGGAGACGGCGGCGTAACGCGCAAGGCAATTCCAACTTTGTAAGGGAGTTTTCCAAGAAAGCTGTACTGCGTCCGATGTAAATCAACGGCTCGGGTTGACGTTGAGAGAGACATTTTCAGTAAGAGCCTCCAAACAGAAGCATATTTCTCCAAGTCCAGCACCATGAGGTTGCCCGAGGGCGCGTCCGATCAAAATCAAGCGGCTGAGATTGAGGCGGTCAGCGGTAGGCGTTTTTGCGTATAGAACCCTTACATTACCGTGATGATCTCCGAGGAGTATATAGAAGCAGAAAAGATAAGGCTAAGGCGAAAGGATCTCCACCGAGAAAACCCTAATTCGAAGAACCGCGCCGCCGTCACCGTCGTCGCTCGCTCGCTCGCTCGCGCTCTCCGCCCGTGAGAACTCCCACCCGAGCATCTCGCATCGATAAAGTCGAACCAGCGCCCCGCGGTCGATCTAACCTGCTTCGTGCCGTCGCAGGGATCGGAGCTCTCGGTTCCAGTAGAAGCGTCTCGGAGGCGACCGCGTCAGCCATGGCGGACGAGGAGCACCCGGAGAGGAGGGAGGAGGCCTCGGAGGTGAGCTGGTTCTTTCTCCGTCGCTGCGCTGATCGAGACGGGGGGTTTCAGTTAGTTCTAGTTCTAGTGCCGTTCGGCTGCTTGCCCTGATTCGATGCGGTTCTAGCTAGGGTTGAGCTTGCGAGTTGTGGGCTGGATTTGAGGTTCTGTTCCACCACATGTTTATGTATATTTTTTTCTTCTCCTACAGCTTGCCCCCTTTGATCCAACCAAGAAGAAGAAAAAGAAAAAGGTTGTCATCCAAGAACCTTCTGATGAAGTGGACAAGCTTGCAGAGAAGACAGAAACATTGGCAGTCACGGAACCCGCTGAACTTAACTTCACTGGAATGAAGAAGAAAAAGAAGAAGCAGGTACGGCAGATAGACTTAGAGCTCATCTGGACAATGCTTAAGAATCAGAAAATGAATCGAGGTTTTACATTTATTCATTCTGGAAAATTTCAGGTGGATCTTGAGTCATCTATTGCCGACCTTGGAGATGGGGAGGACACTCAAGGTGCATTTTACTTGTTATTAATCTAAACCTTGCTCTCATTGACTACTTCTGCAATGTGTATGACTCCTTGCTTTTCAGATGATCAAGCTGTAGAGGAACAAGGGGAAGGCATTGAGCTTGGAGGTGGTCCTACATATCCTTGGGAAGGAACTGACCGGGATTATAAATATGAAGAGGTGATCACATTTTCTGCCAAATATTTTTCCCTTGTAAACATGGATCTCTGTGCATTAGTTATTATTAGTAAAAATGTGACTATTTGGTAGCCAGAGGCTTATATTTCACAATTGCCCCATAGCTTTACATCTTCATGTTTCCAATGTTCTATGACATTACAACCACATTTTGTCGTTATGACTTGCATGCTATTAATACCTGTTTGTTTGGGTGCATTCATATATGCATCATTCTTTATTATTAATTTTGGTTACTTCTTTTCACTGTGGGTCTCCAATATATAACTACCTTGGAGGAACCAAATCACTACAGCGATGTGTTACCTTGGAGGAACCAAATCACTACAGCGATGTGTTACCTTTTTGTCTCTGAAATTTAACCTTGAGCTTTTTCTGTTGCAGCTGCTGGACAGAGTGTTCAACATTCTTCGCGAGAACAACCCAGATCTTGCTGGGGATAGGCGTAGGACCGTTATGAGGCCACCACAAGTTCTTAGGGAGGGAACAAAGAAGACAGTTTTTGTTAATTTTATGGATTTGTGTAAAACGTAAGTTTCAACCTAACTGTGGAAGCATATTTTTAACTGATACTCTCTCACCTTCTTAAGTGCTCTCTGCTGCTCCAGTTGTTAAAATTACAATGAACTGACTTTTAACTGTATCTTCAGGATGCATAGACAACCTGAGCATGTGATGATGTTTTTGCTTGCTGAAATGGGAACAAGTGGGTCACTTGATGGGCAGCAAAGGTTGGTGATCAAAGGAAGATTTGCCCCCAAAAACTTTGAAGCAATCCTGAGGAGATACATCAGTAAGTCATCGAATTTGATTGCGTTGATGGTTGTAGTATCCCTTTGTGAACAGATGGCATGGCATTCCTTTTTATGAACATACCTGCTGACTGCTGATATGATTGAATAAATATGATGGTTGTTTACTGTTTCTCTCCCTGTGACTCAATTTTTCAGATGAGTATGTCATCTGCAATGGATGCAAGAGCCCTGATACCATTCTGTCCAAGGAAAATCGTCTGTTCTTCCTTCGCTGTGAACAGGTGAAATATCTTGCAAAACCATGTAGGATGTGGGGCCTGCAGTTTTGTTGTGATAGATTTCCAACGGCTCTGGGAACATTTCGTTATTCCCGTTTCCTTACACTTTATCCATGACTGTTTTTTGTTATTATACATTGGTAATTGATGCCATTTGTCCCATCATCTGTGTATTTTTCTGCCAATGATGAGTTGCAACTTGGTTTAGGGTTATTTTGAAAGTCTGATGAGAAGTGCAATTTCTGAGGCAAACAATTCCACAATTCATTCCATGCATTATCTGCTATCAATGTTACCATCTCATATTTTGCTGCTCTAGATAGTTTTGCCCATATTTAAGATCCTTTCAAAATGAAACAATTTTTGCTGACTTTCCTAGTACTCATTTTTCCCTACATTTGAGGATTGGCTTGTTAGGCCTTGTTTGGCCCAGCCATTGTGTTCTAGACTATGATGAGTTGCAGAATCATTTGCCTACATTGTTTGAGTTTGTGATAACATCTGCAAAATCTGAGTCTTTCATTGATCATATTGGAAGACCAAATATTATACCTTCTTGTTGTTGCCTTTTCATTTTCATTTCACTTCCATTCCATGTTACTTTTACTTGGTGAACACTTCTAGAGTTCTAGTTGACACTTGCATAGAACCATCACGCCACTATATGGTTTTGCCAATGATGAATTGCAACTTTATTGCCTACATTGTTTGACTAGTCTTCTGTGATAAGAAGTGCAATTACTGAGGCTTAAATAGAGTCATAAATTTGTGCGATAATATATCTGCTATCAGTTTCACTATCACTTATTTTATGTTTATATAGGTATTGTTGCTTATGAATATAACCTTGAGTTTTCTCCTACCAACCAAACATTTCCCGTGCTGAAATTCGCTACTTCATTCTTGTGTGTGTTTATTCTTGTAGCCTATGATGAGTTTCAGAATTATTTGCCTACATTGTTTGAGTAAAACATTGATATTATCTGCAAAGTTCTGAGGCTATTCTTTGAAATCAGAATGGAAGACTCATATTTGATTCCAACTGTAATGAGCCATTTCTTTTGCTATCTATAGTGTGGATCATCAAGGTCCGTTGCTCCAATCAAAGCTGGATTCGTTGCGCAAGTTGGTCGTCGGAAGGCCTGAACACAAAACAAAGCTTTGCATTATTAATCCTGTGTGCTGCCATATGATGTTAGAATTGAGCTTGTGCTCTGTTTTGGCAACCAATTTTGCATTGCGACCATTGTGGCCGTGTATTTTTTTTTTCTTGTGTCATGTTAATGCAGCTGAGTTTCAGTTTATGATTTGCTTTATTATCTATATATGGCTGGAATTGGGGCCATACCAATTCAACAATATTAGATTATTTGCTGACTACATATTCTGCTGTGCAATGTTGAGCAAGATCTGTCACCAATACCCTTTGTCTGCATTCAGAAGATTCATCAAATGATGTCTCAGTTCTGTGGCAGATGGCGAGTGTCACTGTCATGCATCCTGATAAGCGACTCCCTGCGATCATAATCCTGTGACAGCTGGCTATTATCAGTCGGTTAAACTTCTTGCGGTCACAAACACGAGTTCATCAAGATTTGTCCCAAGTATTTTGTTTTTAAAGTTGGATCATGAATATCAGAAGGTAATAACGCAAAGACTGACATTACAATATTTATTATAAAAATTATTTTTATATTATGTGTTCTATTTTAGATAAATGTTACTCTCTCCATTTAGGATAAATATATTACATTTAATGTTGCTACGTATACTTAGGGGCTTTATTTGTATCGCATTCGGAGGATAATAATCTGTCCTAAGCTGTAAAGATCAACTTCCTCTATCATGTAATTTCTTTAATTAATAGCCCTCCTTTTTTTGCGATTAATAGCCCTCCTTTTTGGCCTCCTCTAAAACCACTCTAAAGATCTACTTCCTCATGTAATACGATCAATCCACACACTTAAATTTTTTCCTACGGATTCTATCTGATTTATTTAATTTATTTAATAATCCTCCTTTTTAGCCTCCTCTAAAACCACCATATACATAACGAGTAGATTGTGTGAAATTTCTTTTTTTTAATTATCATCTTCTATTTTGCATGTTTTTCCTTATTTATTTCAATAAACATTCTCTTTAGCTCCCTCTAAATCCACCAAACGAAGTCACCATGCACATACCATTAACAAGTAAACCATTCTCTTTAGCTCCCTCTAAATCCACCAAACAAAGTCACCATGCATACCATTTAACGAGTAAATTGTGTGAATTTCTATTTAAATAAACCTCCTCTTTAGATTTCCATGTTGGGGTACATGCGTTTTCTTTTCTTTTTTTGGTCTAAAATTTAAATGTTCAATGTTAGGGTGCAGGCGTTTTCCTTTTAGTGGATGGAGGTGACTTTCGCTTGGCTAATAGTGTGATTAAAGCCGATCAAAGGATGAGAGAAGCTCCCAAGTCCCAACCAAACAGTGCCAACATCGCCTTAACATTTACCATTATCATATTTGACCTTATGAACATATTTTCGAGTACAAAAGCTAGAACCAGAGCTAATTGTCCATATCCGGTATTTCCATGCTAACGCTACATGTTTTAATAGACGATACAGAACCAGCGTCTCTTCTGCACATAAGTCGCGTTCCATAACATGTCACTCGATCAAAATTTTAAGCACATTTTCAATGCGCTAAACATCCTTAGTCCTTCAGCCTCGAGCCGGATGCGTTCACCTCCTCAAGGATCGGTGCAGGCCTGACGTAGGTGAAGCCTGCGAAGTGGCTGTGCCCGCCGCCAGCGGGGGTGGTCACCGGAGAGTCCAGCACGGGCGTCTTCGTCCAGCACTCGTCGAAGTTGGCAATGCAGGTAAGCCCAGCTACATTCGGCCGAAAGCTTGGCTGGATCTGCCGGGCCTCCAGCTTCCTCCAATTGATTGGCTTGAACCACTTGTGGTTCTTTATCTCATTGCTGCCTCCGGGGCCGCTGCCCAACCGCTTGTTGGGTTCCTTGTGCAGGAGCTGGAAAATGGAGGGGACAGAGAACGTGAGATCAAATTAAGCTAACGCTTGTGCACTGATTAAATGAATGACGCAATCAAGGGAAATGGATGTAAAAGCTTACGCCTTTCAGGAGGGAATGAGCTTCACTAGACAAAAATGAAGGAAGCTTCAGTTTATCTTTTATAATCTTCTGCTGAACTTTGTCCCTATTCCCAACAAATGGTGGCTGCAATGTGTTGCCAAGGGTATGAATAATTAGAAACAAAAGCAAATGAGATGGCAACATCTGTTGAGAAGTTCTGAACCTCGCAACTCACCTTGCCTGTAAGCATTTCAAAGAGCAGGATTCCCACGCTCCACCAGTCAGCAGCCTTATCATGCCCCCGGCCAAGAATAATTTCCGGGGCCATGTACTCAAGAGTGCCGCACATCGAGTTTGATCTGGTATTTTCACAGAATTCCTTTGCAAGGCCAAAGTCTGTGAGCATGGCCTAGAAAGGTAGGGCGAATGACGAGATGTTAGCAAAAATGAGGAACTGGAAAAGGAAGGTTGACAGTCATCGTCAGTGATTCTTACATGGCCATCAGCACCCAGAAGGATGTTTTCGGGCTTGAGATCCCTATGCATAATTCCATTAGCATGAAGATGCGCTACGGCAGATACAATTTCAGCTGTATAGATTCGTGCAAGCTCCTCCCTTGTTATGTAAAACCAGTTTAGTTTCAGTACTAGTGTTACTACCTTTTGGCAAATAAAACTACCTAGCGAAAAATGGAAGATACCTAAACAATCCTTGCTTGTAGAGCTGAAAGAAAAGATGCCCCCCGTTTATGAAGTCCAGGACAAGGTAAAGTCGATATTTCGTCTGCACAGTTAGAGCATTACAATAAAAAATTTGTACTAGAATTTCACCAAACTTAATATATTTTTTTCTGTACAGTGAATAAGGATGAGAGTATGCACACAGACAGTTTACCTGAAATGAGTACCTCAGCTGCACTATGAAAGGGTGGTCGACTTTTGTCAATATCTCTCTCTCGGCTTTCATATACTCAGATTGGTTTTTTTCTAATATCTTGTCCTTCCTCATAACTTTCATTGCATATATCTCTGAGGTGTTTTTCTTTCTCACCTGAAATACTTTACCGAATGCCCCTTGGCCAACAAGCTTCAAGATTTCGAAGTCATCAAGCCCAACGCCCTCATCCTCCGTCATAGCATTACCAAGCTCTTCATCACTGAGCTGCCCTTGGTCCCCTTCCTTTTCTTCTGAGAGGCACTTTACAAGTTCCGATGATCCCTCAGTTTTTCCTAGACTAAGCTTGCTAAGTCGCAAGGAGCGGCTAACAAGTGATGTTGGACCAACAAGAGAATGGGATCGGTTGATGATGATAATAGGATCACTGTAAAATTCTTCATTGGACTCAACAGTAGGTGAAGGACTGTCCGGACCAAGACCACCAAGGTTTGTTGGTGTTTGGACTGGGGTGGAACCAAAAACATCAGAGAAATCGTACTCGATGTTATCTGAGGAGACAACATCTGGAGGGCCCATTGGGAGAAGTATCTTTACTGGGCAGAGGTTGGGGCCCTGTGCGAGGATTGCAGTTAGAGAGGATGGCTGAGAAGAAACCATTTCAAAAGCTTGAAAGCCTACAAACTCTTAGGCCAAGCTTCTATCACAGTGTATAAATTAGGCTTCCTCCACTGAACCTTCCACCAGGAATTCCCAAGTATCCCACGAAAAGGCAGAGAAAGATGCTGCTGCTGTTCACTGTTGAATAAGGGATATTGGATGCCAGTGCTTTCCCAGAACTCATGAAGCTGAAACAGACAAAGCTGAAGACAAAGTAGATATTTGGTTAGCCTTGCCTTTTACCAGAAGAGGAACAGGAAAAAAAACCATCTTTTATCATACAGTAGCTTGAAAAGAATTATTTTACAGAGAAAGCTACAACAACAGGTTACAAATCCTAGAAAGTTCATGAAACTAGTTGCCTTACTAGGATTCCTACATTCATTGACATTGCAGATATATCTGATAACCCCACACCCCCTCCCAAACACACCCACACCAAAAAAAGAAAAGGAGAAAACCTGAACAATGCTATAAAAGCTAAACAAACATGCTATCTTGCGAATAAAAAATGTAGCTGAATGCTGTAAAATCTCCATAAGTAGGCAACGTTCTACAGCACTGGGTTATCAGCACCGCTTGCCTAGTGCATTAGAAACTCCAGCGCAGCAATCAACAAGCAAATGGGTAAGTATGCAACTTAGGAGCTGTTTGAACACTAAGTTTTCTTGGAGTTTTAGGAAACTACAGTGGTTTTCTAAAATAGTTGGATGCAGTAACAAATCTTGTAGTTTAAAAATCTAGATATTTCTAAAACTGTAGCCTTTTGGAGTCATAGATTAGAAATACACTTGGGATGCCATGCACCTACTCTATAAAACAAGTTGTTGATATCATGACTCTTTAAAAGACTGTCATCCAAACATGCCCTTAACAGCCTATAGGTAATGAAGTTGAACCATGAACAATGTGCTGAGAATCTTGATAAACTCTAATGCCTGGTCTGCCACTGCTAAAACCGATATCCCTTGAATGGCACCGAATTAAATTGTTAATCCCTACGGCGTGACGGTTTTAGTAGTGACAGATCAGACCACCAGGGATTAGACTAGGAGCACCATGACACATCCACAGCTATGAATGAATGAAGCTTTAGAGCAAAGCAAGGACCATCAGTTCCCAAAACTTAGCTCCAAAACTTTAGAATAGAGGCACAACCCCTGCTTTTATGGAAAGCAACAAATCACATGATTTTTTGCTTCCTAACAAAGCAGGACCTATGCTTATATTCTAAAGGTTTACCAAATCCTCATTAATCTGACTATCCTAGCGACGCCATTAAGAGATACTCTAGGCATGTACTCTCCAATCCTATCATCCTATACATACTATCCTGTAGCAGTTACTAGTTTGCACCAAATGAAATCACATAGTGTGGGTCTGTGGGATCCCGGCTCGGCTGGCTGCCAACAAGCTCGTAATTAAGCGCAGTTCAGATACCTGCATGGGCAAACGATTGGCAGCCCGGCGGCTCCGGCCAAGGCAATCAAACAATTGGTAAAATCGCTGCTCTGCTTCCCAGCACAACCACATGCCCACATCCAAATGACAAAATCGTAACAGCGCAAGCAACCAATCCGCCAAAAAAAAAATAGGACAGCAGGATTTGCATGGGGGAATCGAACGAGGGAACCGATCAAGCGAAAACTACGGGCGAACATGCCAGGATCAAGAGATCGAACCGTTCGTTATCTCCGGAGCCCGCGGATCGCTAGCGAGTGGGAACCCCTGTGTGTGACGAAACACTCGCGAAAAAGATGCGGGATGCGGCGCAGGCGAAGGAGGGAGCGGAGGAATTCCGCGGTGCTACCTCTCGCCGATGGAAGATGGGGGCGCGCTCAGCTCCGACTTCGGACCTCCGACCCGCTCTTCTCCTTCGGGGCGCGCCGCGCGCGGGTTGGTTGGTTGGTGGCGGGGAGTGGGGAGTGCCGAGGAGGAAGGAGGGAGGGGAAAGCGGAAGGCTGGGATGGGGGCGCGACGGCGCGTGGCTTCCGAAATGGCGCACGCCAGTCTAGGCACGTTGGCGAAGGAGGGCCCACCGGTCAGTGTCAAGCGGTGGGCCAGGGCCTGCTCAGCCGCCAGGTCGATTTTGTTTCCA